CTGGTTTCTGCACAAAGCTTTAACTCACTCAATAATAAATACAGCCCCACTTAGACTACATGATGTAGGCTTTTCAAACTTCACCTGTGTCCAGGAAAGCTCCAGAAACAATTGCACCATTAGCCAAAAATAAAAATCCAGCAACTACCCTATAATCACTCCATGTTCCCTTTAAATGTCACTAATGAATAGCTTTTTCCACACAGTTTAACCTTGTATCCGGCTGCAAGAAGTTAAGACAGTGTAAACTGGAGTGTGACATTAGTAAACAGCATCCGCGGTGTTAAATCAGTATCTCACACCAACTGTTCTACACAGTTGTTACACCTGCCTTTAGTAAGGTGATGTCTGTAACATTGCCCTCTGCAAGTGTACGAGCATCTTGCAGCCATCATCTGTGCACTTTAGAAGGCAGTGTTGAATCTAAAATCCTGCTTTCTAAATCCTATTTTAACCCCAGTGTTAGTGCTGCTAAAAGAGTGAATAATGTTGACCGTGACAAACCATTTCATCTTGTCTCACAATCATGAAAGCGGCAGCAAAGTAACTTTAGATAGCACCTGGAACATTTCACTTTGCTACGAGAGTGTTGTCAAAAAAAAAAAGAGCTGGCACAGCACATTAGGAAATTCTTGGATAGCTTGGTTTAGTGCTTTCACAGACCAAGGGCAGGTAGACAAACAGAGACTTTCATTCTGAGCTGCAAATCCAAGTTTAGCCTTCAGGTGGGGCTCCAGGACCAGGGGACTTTTTTCCTTGAAGCATACAAAGCTGATGGGTGACCTTATAGAAGTTTATAAATCCATGCACTTTATGATTAGGGTGAATAGCCAAGGTCTTTTCCCTATGGTAGGGGAGTCCAAAACTAACGGGCACAGGTTTAAAGTGAGAGAGAGTCTGAGGAGCAACTTTTTCACACAGAGGGTGATGCGTATATGGAATGAGCTGCCAGATGAAGTGGTAGAGGCTGATACAATGACAACATTTAAAAGGCATCTGGATAGGTATGTGGATGGGAAAGGTTTAGAGGGATCCGGGCCAAATGCTGGTAAATGGGAGTATTCAGTTCAGGAAACCTGGTTGGCATAGACAAGCTGGGCGAAAGGGTCTATTTCCATGCTGCATGCCCTATAGGTCAGCAGAGGCAATGGAGGAATGGAATTTACTGCGAGGTAAGGTTCGTATAGCAGAGCTCGTAATGACAGCCAGATTCCGGAGGGTAGAATATGGGTGATGTTCAGGAATGTGTAGGAATAGGGATAAAGGCAGCAATGTCAAGCAGGAGACGATCTGAGACAGAGGAGTGGAATTAGACAGTCCCACTGTCTCTGCTGAGATGTTGTCAGAAACTCTTCCTAGGGTTAAATACGAAGGCTACAGTCTGTTTTAGTTTCCTGAGAGAGAGGTGGGCTCAGTAACTAGGGGGTCAAACAGATGGTGTAATTGTAACCACCCCCAAGAACAGGTGGATTTTAGCCAAGTAAGAAATTTTAGACCCAGATTTCACATCAAGGTTTTAATCCAGGTGGAGCAGGTGACCAAACCACTTTCTAGAGATGGGTGTAAAGAGGATTAATATTTGCCTTCATTTTTAACAGATCTCATATTTGTAATTAATATTAATGTTGCCATTGCCTTGGGACACTGCGCAAATAACAAAGTTATTGGGGAGGGGAGAAGAGAAGAGAGAGAAAATATATCAGAACAGCCATCAAGTTTTGTCAAAGGTCACGTGGGGAGATGGGGGTTATTAGGGCTTGTGTTGGCTTCAGCGTGGTGGTTGTCCAGTGTTCTGTGGGAGTCCTCAGGCAGGTCAGAATCTCCTAGATAGTGAGAAATGACAGTTATTCTGTGGAGAATCAATTAATTAGTCAGTAGCTGGGCAATAATCTTCAGGAACTCTGTACTGTTGATGGCAGGCACTGCACAATAGTTATCAATTGTTAAGCACACTTCATCGTAATCAATCAATCGAGGGATCAGATCATGAGGTATGAGCAGCATATTTGCTCTGATGTCCAAGTAGTAATGAGGGCAGAGTGATGGATGTGATCTATATGGACTTCAGTAAGGTGTTCATCAAGTAACCTCATGGTAGACTGGTTAGCAAGGTTGAATCACACAGAATACAGGGAGAATGAGCCATTTGGATATTTCTAAAGAAGGGTCTAGGCCCGAAACATCAGCCTTCCTGCTCGGTCTGCTGTGTTCATCCAGCTCTACACCTTGCTATCTCATTTGGATATGAAACTGGGTTGAAGCTAAAAGACAAAGGTTGATGGAGGGGGATTGCTTTTTAGACTTACTTTAGATTGCTTTAATCATTTAAATGATTTGGAGGTGAACATAGGAGGTATGGTTAGTAAGTTTGCAGATGACACCAATATTGGAGGGGTAGTGGACAGTGAAGAAGATTACCTAAGAATACAACAGGACCTTGATCAGATGGGCCAATGAGTGGCAGATGGAGTTTAATTTAGATAAATGTGATTTGCTGCATTTTGGAAAGGCAAATCAGGGCAGGACTTATACACTTAATGGGAAGGTCCTGGGGAGTGCTGCTGAACAAAGAGACCGTGGGGTGCAGGTTTATAGCTCCTTGAAAGTGGAGTCACAGGATAGTGAAGGCGTCATTTGGTATGCTTGCCTTTATTGATCAGTGCTTTGAGTATAGCAGTTGAAAGGTTATGTTGCAGCTGTACAGGACTTTGGCTAGGCCACTTTTGGAAAAGGCATGCAATTCTGGTCTCCCTGCTATAAGAAAGATGTTGTGAAACTTGAAAGGGTTCAGAAAAGATTTACAAGGATGTTACCAGGGTCGGAGGGTTTGAGCTATAGAGAGAGGCTATTTACCCTGGAGTGTCAGAGGAAGAGAAGTGACCTTATAGATTTATAAAATCATGAGAAGCATGGATAGGGTGAATAACCAAGGTCTTTTCCCCAGGGTGGGAAAGTCTAAAACTGGAGAGCATAGGTTTTAAGGTGAAAGGGAAAAGATTTAAAAGGGACCTAAGGGGCAATTTTTTTCAGAGAGTGGTGCATGTATGGAATGAGCTGCCAGAGGACATGGAGGCTGGTACAATTACAACATTTAGAAGGCATCAGGCTGGGTACATGAATAGGAAAGATTGAGGGATATGAGCCAAATAGGATTAGATTAATTTAGGATATCTGATTGGCATGGATGAGTTGGACCAAAAGGGTCTGTTTCTATTCAGTACATCTGTGACTATGTAACATAGAAACTTATTTCTAGTCTTTGTTATTCCCAAATATACATTTGTACATGAGGGGGACAAATTGCCAGGGAAGGAGACTGTGAGTGTATGTACATAAAAGAGTAAGAGAAAATAAGCATTGAGGGTAATTATGGGTTATTAGCATTGGGCTATGGAGAGGAAGCAGTTGTTGGAAATCATGGACCATTTCAGAAAGTCCCCCACTTCTCCTGCCTGAGTCTAATTGGTTGAGGGAGGTAGATTTTCAGAGTTTCAACAAAGATCACTTATCCCAGCACATTCTGTACATCGTTCACTTATGCAAATTAAAAATTGCTTTGAAATCTTACCCCGATTCCTAACTAAATTACTTACTGCATTTTTGAGGTGCCTCCTGACCTTAATGTGAAGTCCTCTGTGGTGCCACACAGTGAAGGGAAGGGACATGGAACTGAGTACATGGACTGGGAGCGGCTATTATGGTGAGGTCCCTCCATCTGAGGTAGAAGGCCTGGGTTCAAGTCCCACCCTCCCCACATGACTGATTAAAAAAAATCCAATAATTAATTGAGTTGATAAAAGGTGCTGCTAGAGAAGAACAGAAGCACATAAATCAACCTTGGTGGGAAAATGAGGACAAAAATTTGTTACTGGTAGAAGAGTGGCTGCAAAATAAAACAAACTGATGAATTCCCCAGCCTTTGGAATTGTTTTACTGCATTAATGACAATGCTGACACAGCCTTTCAGAGAGGAGGCAGCACCTTTCCTGTACATCAGTTGTGGGGTGAGACATAGACAGGAAGTTAAGATGGCACTAGCCTAGGGATTCTGAGACTCAACTGGAAGTTTCACACTCGCTCCACATCACGCAGGATCAGGGACTGAAGTCCATGGTGAGGGTGGAAACTGGATCTCAGCAGGAGGATGCCTCCGTAGAGGAAGGAGGATTACAGAGTAAATTGAGGAGCATGGAAGTTGTATTATGATTGGAAGTTTGCAGTTACAGCTGGAGAGGTACCTGGCAGAATGCGCATCAGCTCAAGGCCCATCACATTCAGAGAGATCCTGCTCTGCTGAGAACCAGAATGCTGTCCCAAAGGAACGTCAAATTCAAGAGGCTGGGATCTTCCCCAGACTACAAGCCAAATGTGCAATAAAAGATCCAGAAGTTCACTGCAGGACAAGATTTCTCCCTCAGACCACAGACACAGAAAAATTACAGGGAGCTTTCCAATATAAAATGGCTGCTACTTTTGACAAAATATCAATTTAGTTCATTTGGAGGAAGTGATTGAAAACAACAGGATATAAACGAGTCAACATGTATGAAGGAAGGTAGGCCCATCAGTGCAAAAGTTGATTTAAGATGCCACTTCAGCTCGGCATGCCAGCATAAGTGACAGTGTGCTGCAGAGTGAGAAATGCTGCTTTTCAACCCACTCCTGCCAAGGATAAAACCAAGGGCTATCATTTGAACAAAGATTTCATTGTCATTGATCAATAAGCTGGAAAGCTGCCCCCTGGACCCTGGTCAAAAATGCTCTTCAAAAAACAGATTAGCTAATTATTTCTTCAAATAGGCCACACAAAACTGTGACGTCACTCCAAAAACAATTCATGAAATGCAACACACTTTGGGACATCAAGTCAGTGATAGACTCTGCACTGGTAGATGTTAACAGGTTTAAAATACCATCTGAAGAAACTGACTGAGGTATTTTGGGATGATCAAGGACAGTGGTTTTACAACAGTGATTTTACACATCTTTGAAACAGATCGTCACAATACTAAAACTTTATTTAAAACAGTTTTGCTAAATCACCGATGGATTTAACAAAATATCTTACCCAGCAACTTCCAGTGGCTCAACAGATCTGGCTAAATACAAACAGGACTCGTATTTGTCCAGGATCCTGGCTCTACATGGTACAGACATCCAGCATGTTGAATAGAAGTAAAATATTACATTTAGAAACAGAATACGAGTTATTACAAAAATAACAGCATTTTCCCCCTTTGGAAAAACTGCTAATTTATGAAAAATTCCTCAAATGGATTAAAAAACTAAAAATTTTGGCAACTTCTGGAAAAATGTTTAGTTTGCGACTGCCATCAGGGATTCAAACTGATTCTGCTTCATATTTGGCAAGTCCATAGACAGCTTTTAACCCAGGGACTCTAACCTCCAGCTGGGGGCATGAACTGGGACAGCCACAGTTTTCACTATTGCTTTTAGTCCTACTCCCAGTCTACCAAGAAAACTGGTCAGGCAGTCTGACAGGGACAGTATTAGGGGATGTGCATTTGGCTACATAGCTGCGCAGGCCATCCCAGCCAGAGCTGAACTGTATTTAGCTAGCACCTCTCCTTCTGAAAAGGAGTCACTGGATGATAATCAGGAACCCTGGCTGATTTTATCCTCCTTCCTCCAGGACCCCACAGCCAATGCAATTTCCTGCCTGAACATAGGATGAAGGTCCAGTGATTACAAGTCAGACAGTGACCAGAAGTGATGCTGAAGCTGTACATGCAGGAAATGCTTGCAGTTCAGTGGCAGCCATCATTTACCCAACCTCCCTCAGAGCCACCCTGGCCCCGGTCTGAACTGTCCTTTCCGAGCTACAGTAGCTGGAAATGAGGGGCTTTCAGCGAATACAACATCAGCTGTCAGACACTTGGCTTAGGTCCTTCCATTCAGTCCTGTCACATGAACAGAACCACTAAGTTTTGAATACAGATAAGAGGTTGTTCCTTTAACTCCTCTCTGGATTTTCATGGCTGGGGTCGGGTGGGGGGGTGGAGATAAATGGGAGCACGAGCAAACAAAAGCACATTGGAGACAGCCAGCGAACAAAGTGCTTGAGAGCGAGAATAAAAAAGTTTGTGTGTGTGTATACATGAGGCAGAGAGAGAGAGAGAGAGAGAGAGAGAGAGAGGGAGAGGGAGAGGGAGAGGGAGAGAACAAAACGTGTGCATGTGAGACAGATAGACAGTGACAGCGAGAGACAGAGAGAGAAAGAACGAAGTGGTTAAGTGCACAAGGGAGTGTGAGAGAGAGAAACCGAAGGGAAGCTCATGAAGAGGAGGAATGGAAGACCTCACATTTAATGAGCCTTTAAAGCCACATCTAGCTATATAACCCAGATGATGCTGAAGATGAAAATACAGCAACCGGATAGTATGCTTTGGTCACATTCTCTGATCAGCACAATACAGCTTTCTGTCCTCACATTTCCAAGTTGACAAATTCTTCAAATGAGAGCACTGCCAGTTCAGATACATTCCAGAGTTTCAAACCCTGTCTGCATTCACATTTGGTTCAGTGACAAACAGTAGTAGCTCAAGCTGCCTTATCTGAGCACACTGACAGTTCAGTACCTGCACAGAGCAGAAACTGAGTGCAAACACATTTCGATAGTTTGGGGTAGGAGGTCAAAATGATTGGATACAGAGTAATTCTGATTGGACTCGAAGGATTATATTTGGGCAGCTAGGTCCTGCCTGTGCAGTTTCTGGATAGACAGCAGTCAATTTCAGATTGGGAACTGGGTTTGCCATCAAGTGCAGCTTTAAGAATGAGGGGATAGGGGGAACGGGAGTGCTGATACAGTGCACGGTTTTACCTAGGGACAAACCAGCAAGGCACTGACCCAGCCTAGAGGAAGATCCTCTGACTTTTGCCTGGCTCCTACTCAAACCCATTGGATGAAGCTGTATCAGGCAAACTGATTGGTCCTGGGGTTTGCCCGTGTCCTTCCCTCCTGCAAGGCTGATCGACCGAGTGTGGCTTTACAACCAGTGGAGCATCCTCCGAGATCTTATCCCTCACCACGACAAGAGTCCCGTCAGTAAACAGCAGCGTTCAAACCAGAGATGGACCCAGTTTCCACACTGACAAATCACTAATGCCCTGGATTCTGCAGGACAAGTAACCAGGCCATCAGATTGCAGGACACCAGTCTCAAATGCACCAGATGCAACTGACATTTCCTTGTGACAAATTGCCAGGTTTGCCTGGTCAGGGGGCAGATGCAGTCTAAATGCACACCATGTACCATAGGAGTGCAGTATCACCAACACATCATGCCCAGAATACTGGGGTTGCAGAGGGAGAAATGTCTGATCAGGGTCAAATCACAACGACTGCTTCCACAGGCAGCCTCAAGGCATGCGACTCCATCTGACCACTGCAGAGAGTTCTGTGCAAAATCCAAATCTCTTCCATCACCGTCAAGTCAGGTGGAAGCACAACACAAGCACATTAAGACTATACAAGGTGCCCTACCTGTTTAAACAAGTTCAGGCATGCATTTCTGGACAAGGTTTTACTTCTGCTATTGTTAAACAAGTTAGTCCTCACTGTAAAATTAAAATTCAGTTACTAACACCACTTGAGTGCGCGCACTGCGGGAGGTGAGGGTAACAATTCAAGATCACAGCACACAAAGGAATTCTCTTAGTGACTATATTTTTTTTTAAAAAAACCCTTAAAAATTCTTGGAAACAAAAAGTGCGAATTCTGTTTTTAGACCAGCAGTCATGACTGGACAAATCCTTTTTACAGCACCGCTGTCAGCTCAAAGAGGCATACACATTCTTTAAAACAAAAAGACCATTCACAGATTTCTTTTCTCCCCCCATAATTTAAAGAAAGAACACCCAGGATCAAGAGAGCTCACTGCTGTCCCATAAAGATATGGCACTCCTTCACAGTCAGGTTGCCTAGTGCATGCCTTCAGGAATGTATGCAGAGTTTGAAAATACTGTACACTTTTGTTGCCCTTCCCTCCACAGAATTCTTCGGCAGGCTCAGTGTTTATACGGAGGTTTCAGGCAGAGGGTTGGAGTGGGGTGGGGTGTGGGGGTGTTTTTGGGGGGTAGGTGGGGAGAGGCACTCCTTCAGAGGAAGTAGTCAGCAACTGTCTTTTTAGCCGATACCCCTCGTGATTCTTGAGGGGCAGCTTCAAAAATTGTAAATTCCTTCTCCAAATGTTCGTCCAATTCAAGTATCGCAGCGACATTTCCACACCTGGGTAAACACAGCAGACAAAATGAAACATTGGACAATGTTCAACGTTAAACACTTCATGGATTGTTAGTTGGGCTCAAGGCATGGTGCATTTGCTCATATTGAGGCTGCACATAGAAATATACAGTGCCCTGCTCTTCACAGAGAAAATGCACCCTGTTTTAACTCAAAACAGATGACACTTAATCTCTAGCTCCTCCCTCAGGGCAATGCCTTGACCAGAGTCCTGGTTTCAATTTTAAACAAAGATTGGCAGTTAATTGTCAGTCCTCATTAACTGGTGCATTCACTAATAGCAACATCTCTACAATGCTACGTTCAATTGCCAACCAATCAGCACTTTCCTCAGTATGAACATGTCGGTTTTCCCCTTAAAGTGAACTGTCCAAATGTGTAGAAAAGCTTTGATAAACATCCGTCTTTCTTTTACACGCAGATTCTGGACTGCAAAATAACTATTAACACTCTACTCAACTAGTCAGTAGACCTCTGAATCAGGAGGATCTGCCCTCATTGATTTAAATTTAAAGGGATACTGACCTAGTTATTCTTATGGATAAGTGGTTAAAGAGGTAGAGACAACAAAACTACAAAGGACAGGGACATAAAAACAAAATAGCACAAATGCTGGTGAATGGGAGAGACAAAGGACATTGAATGACAAGACACATTGTAGAAGCTGCAAATACATGGTGAAATTAACTTGCAAGAAATATCATAAATCAATGGATAAGTTTTACAATTGTATTTGGGAAGAAAGGTCACTCGGGAGTAATAAGTCTTTAAAAACTGATAATGGCGATGGCGTCAATGAAAATAAGGAAATGACAGACATTGAAAAATTACTTAACATTTGTACTTACAGTACAGGAAGGGGGAAACATGCTGGACTTTGAGATAACTAATATTGGATCATGGACTGGGACTTACCAAAATTAACATAAGCAGAATAAGATAAAAAATGGCACTGAGGAGTGACAATTCCCCAAGGAACATTGCTAAATGCACAAAGTTTAATCTTCCAAATTTCTCAATTCTCTAACTGTTCAGTTAGTTTGGAAAACTGCATGTGTCACTCTGCTATTTAACAAAGAAGGGGGGTAACCAGGGAATTAAGGATCAGTTAGTTTAATATCAGTTACTGGAATAAGACTGGAGTTTATAATTGAGGATAGAGCAGCTGAAAAGCTTGGCTAGAGCCAGTGTGGATTTGTAAACCAGCAAGTCATAGCTGATGAACCTGACTGCATCTCTCAAGGCAGTAGACAGGACGAGTAGCTAAGATGTGCCTGTGCCTGTGCCCATCTAGACAGAACTTGATAGAAGTACAGTTGGCCGGGGTACTGGGATCTTAGTGATCAAGAATGTGGAGGTATGTGCTCCATGAAGCTAATGGCTCTAATGTTGCTCTCTGCCTGGGCCGAGGAACATGACATACTGACTGAACAGAGATACTAGACAATCAACCAAAGACATGGGTTCCAACAACATAACTTCACCCTCTCATTTCTCAATAATGATTCAATTGGCCTTATGGCTTGCTCCTTTTTGTTTCCAAGTGTTTCAACTGCCTGAACTACCCTTTACCCCACTTCACATCTCACTCGCAGCCATTACCCCCCCACCCAATGAAGATCAATCGTTCACAAATACTTCTGGGATTTGGTGGGTTAATTATTTTCAGACTCTTCTTACCCAAGGGGCAACAGTCCACAAAGTACTCTGGGCGTGTAGTCACTAGTGCAATGTTGGAAACTCAGAAACCAACTTTCACTCAAAGGTTCCCAAAAGTAAATCAGATAACAGCCAGATAGTCTGCCTTGACAATGTTAGTTGAGGGATAAAGTTTGACTACATCAGAGAGAACTGCCCTGCTCATCAAATACTGACTGGGGAATGCAGACAGCCACACGAGGGAGCTGACTGAACCTCAATTTAACATCCCGTTTCAAAGACGATATCTAAATGCAGCCTTTGCTGACTGTATGCAGATGGGCAGTATCCTGCTCAACACTGGGATAACCTCACAAGCAAGGAAATCAATAAATGGAAGCAGTTTCAGTTTTCGACCAGCAGACAGCCAGTGCCTGTTGAATTGAGTTTTATTAAATGAAGAACACCCAGAGAAGAGGCAACAACCAGACACAGCAACTATTTAGCAAGCTCTCACCTGTAGCAGTAATTGGGTGCTGACCATACAGTTAGCACGGTTTCATTAAAGTGCCACTTATATCCCTCCATCACCAGCTGGTGGGCACGGCAAATCAGATCTATGCTATTGGCAGCATTGAAGTGGGCAACAACATCACTGCCAAAGAGGTAGCCAGCTCCTCGAGGGCTGATGCCCCAGCCGGTGGTATCTAAAAAAAAAAATCAAAAAACAAAAAAAGTCAGCTGTTGGCTTGATGATTCAAACAAAGACAAAGTTGTGCCCAAAGCTGGTCAAGGAGAAATACTGTTTTAAAGCTGCAGTGACCATTGACAGCACCATACCATGGCAAAAAGCCCAGTTCACTCTGGTACGACATGGTAGACACCCAATTCATCTTTGAACTAGAAACATAAAAGACAGAATCACAGAAATCCAGGAGAAACTTCTTTACCCAGAGAGTTTAAAAATGTGCAACTTGCCACAACATGGAGCAGTTTGATGAACAACATGAACGGGTAGGAGGCAAAGAGAAAAAAGGAATAGATGATGATGATGCAGATAGTGTGATGGTGTCAGGAGGTTGGTGTACAGCACCACGCTGTAAATTTGTGCAATACCAACAAAATGATGGAGCAGTGCAGATATCTGCATTCTCACCCTCAACCCACCCGAGACCACCAAAAGGACTGATCGAAACCATCTTCTAAAAGAGTCAATCAAGTGCTGTCTACAGACAGGACTGACCAGAGGACCTGCCCAGAGAGTTATCACGTGCTGCTGTCATGGCATGTCCTCCAGGGAAAGAGCAGGGATCTGACATTGATCTTACAACCACCCTAGGAAGGGCTGGTGATGGGTACCCACCAGCACTTTGTCACTATGGGGTAATCCAAGTGATCAGAAGCTGGCAGCAAAAAGCTCCTGAGAGAGTCCATCAATAGGCAGTAGCCCCAAAAATATATCCATTGTTTACACTGTGTGCACGTTAGCATTCAGGATGTAATTAAACACAGATAAAATCTAAAATAAATGAGTGCTAAGCCTTCAAGTGGGCAGGAAAATAGTTAAGGATGAAAACTGAAAATGTGTAAGTCTTTAGACTCTACTGCTCTCTACTGGTTAAACTGTTTAGCATAAATCAATAAAGCTAACTAAAATGTTGAATTACAGATTGTAGAATAGTGGGCAGGAACTGATGATCAAACTGCCCACACTTGTGACCTGGTTTATAAAGACACAAAGGACAAACACAGACAGCAAGACAGACAAAGTGTTAAAGGTCAGAATTACAGACTAAACTGCTGGAACATGACCTGGACCATGAAACGATTTATATTACCTTGATGGATGCTCCCTAACCTATCATGTTGTTTAGGTGTTGCTCAGGAGAAGGATGGTGAAGGGGCTAGGGATGGCTGGCCCTTCACTGATCAGGCAAACTGCCAGGAGGCGAGTAACTTCAGGAAGAGGCAGACACCTGGCAGATATAACTTAATGTGGAGAAGTACAAGGTACCACACATCCAAGAAAACAAGGAAGAGGAGTACACACACATGGAAAGATGCTGGGGCGTGTGGATGAACAGAGACCAAGTTGAAGTCCATAATTTGATGAGTGCAGGTAGATATGGTCACGAACACAGGCGAATGGGACTAGTTCAATTTAGGATACCTGATTGGCATGAACAATTTGAACCAAAGGGTCTGTTTCTGTGCTGTAGGTTTGATTTGATTTATTGTTGTCAGATGTACCTAAGTACAGTGAAAAGTTTTGTTTTGTGAGCAGTACAGGCAGATCATAGCAAACAAAGACATAAAGATCATAGGGTGCTTAGACAGAGAGGGGCATACAAGGTTACACTGCACAGGAGGTGCACAAAACAAGATCAACATTATTTGAAGTTAGAGAGTCCATTCAGCAGTCTAATAACAGCAGGGAAGAAGCTTTCTTGAATCTGTTGGTGCATGTGTTCAAGCATCTGTATTTTAATTTGATTTTAATTAAGAATTTTTGTTTTTTATTCATTCACCAGATGTGGGCGTCACTGGCTAGGCCATCATTTACTGCCCAGAGTCAAACACATTCCTGTGGGTCTGCAGACACATGGGCCAGACCAGGTAAGGACGGGAGACTTCCTTCAGTGAAGGGCAGTGAACCAGATTGGTTGCTCTGACAATCGGCACAGATTAAAAGGAGATCCCAGATTTTCATGAATTCAAATCCCACCATCTGCCATGCTAGGATTTGAACCTGGGTCTCTGGATTAATATTCTGGTGATAGTACCACTGGCCAGCACCTCCTCTTAAAAATACCCATGAATTGGGATGACTTTATACAAAACTTTGGTCACAACACAATTGATTAAAAACTTCATTTTAGAGGGGGCATGGGCGTCATGGAGTTTAGTGAAGACAGAGCAGGAAGACAGTAAGAGTTTAGTATTGAGGAGGATAGGTTTAGTGATCGAGACTTGAGAGAGAGAGAGAGTAAGTTTTGTTTTAAATGTTATAGGAACCATTGATCAAGTAAAAGGGAAAGTATTTCCTCTTGTTGGGAGTTAGCAAGAAAGAATCAATTTTGAACTGCTTTTTATAGTTGAGCAGTGGGGTTCAGAGACTCTTTATGAAGCATAGGGTAGCTGCAGCATGAAGCGTTTTGCTGTGGAGAGCGAGTGAAGGAGAGACCATAACATTTTTTAAAAGGACCATTGGCCAGGTGGTTGAAACAATAGAATAAACTATACATGGCGATTGAATGAAAGGTAGGCAGCAAATTGGTTTTGGATTTGCTCCCATAGCAAAGAAGGGTCAAATCATATCCTTCAAAAAGGTTGTATAATATGGTTTGACAAGAGGAGACTTGAAACTGAGAAGTGAGGAGACCGGTGTGCATACAATTCCAGACACGTTATGTCGCTGTCCACACTGCACACAGACACAGGCACAACATTGAAACGGGAATCAGATAGGGCTGGGGTGGGGTTTGGCGGGGGGCGGAAGGGGTTCGGTGATGGGGAGAGGGGCTACAAATTAGGGATCTCCTGCTCCCTCCCTCTCCCCAGACCGTATATACACACAATGTAAAGGAGCACGTGTACTAGCATCAGTAAATACTGCTTGGAGAGATCAGAAGGTTGCAGTTTCCTGCCTCACCTCAAATGAGGAATGTGATAAAAATGGAAGAGAAATTAAAATCAGTTTGGGCTCGTGCTCCCACTTATATTCCAACAACTCCTGCTCAGAAGGGCCACACACTTGGGAGAGGGTTGAATCAGACAATGACTGTGTCACCTCATAATGAACAACCTCATTTAGGCTCAACTCCATAGCTGTTTGGTGGGTCTGTAACCAACCAGTAAGAAGCTACCATTCTAGGGCAGCAGGGGGGTAAAACTGGCTTTAAATGTTCATCTAAATGAATTTCCAGCATTTACCTTCTGGGTCAGACCAGAGGAGATCACACATTGGACCATCGTGGGGCACTTCCTGCTTCCTGTCGATTGTTCTGATCTGATCCAGGGTCTGGATAGATGGAGAGAGGCCACCATGAACACAGAAAATCTATAAGAGGAGTCAAGAACAAAATATATTCAGTTTAAAAGCAAAAACAAACTGAGTGATTAAGTTAACTTTCAGTCAATCTACTTAAAATCTTGGTAGAACATATGGGGGTGTGTGTAAAAACCGAGCACCCCAGCCCCATTCTACCATTCACCCTGACTCATTTCTCACTCAAGCCAAGTCATGTCACGCACTGAAGATTCAGAGGAGGTTGATTAAAAGATGGATGGAGGTTACAGGGAGAGTATTGCTGAGCAAGGCTGAGCTGGGCTAAGCCTCTTACAAAAAGTGAGACAAAAGACCAGGACCCATAAACAGCCATGGTTGGGAGAACTGAGAGGTACAGGATAAAGGCTGAGGTAAAATAGGAGGTGGAGGAGACTGGGCACTGCACTGAAACAAGGAAGAGGTTTTCAATTCAGTGTACCAGGAACGAATGGAACCAGTGTCTCAGGTATTAAGGTAATAGTTAATGGACAGATGAAAATTAAGAGTATATACGGCATGACTTGTTGAGTTTGAAGTGAGAGGAAGCTTATAACCTGGAATAGTATAGAAATTGACAAAGAGGACATTGGACAGATCAAATCTAGACATCACAAGAGAGGACAAAGGAGCATACGAAGGAGTTGATGACACTGGATCCTTGTGAACATGGCAACGAACAGTACGTCACCTCTCCACATTCACTGCCAGACCTGCTGAGTTTATCCAGTACTCTCGTTTTTCAGTGTGTCATCACTTTCCAAGCAAATTCGCTCTAGACTTTGAGATTCAGTAATTTGGTGTTTGACCTTTAGTTCCATTAACCTACTTACACCTACATTATCCAAGGCCTGTCTGTGTTAGTTTACACCTCAGATCAGACCAGTTTAGATCATTTCTGCCACACAATAAGTCCAGTTTGCAACCTCTTCAGAGTTTTAAATCAGATGATCTTCCTTGTCACTCCCATCCTCTGAAGAAAATGGCAGAAACAGACAGAAATGCACAATAAACAAACTGAACACAAATGTCTTTCATGATTTACCTTTCCATCCACGACAGCAGAGAGACTGAGGTAGTCAAAGATCTCCGTACAGTACCTCCACACTGTAATCGATCCATATTTGCGCAGACACTCATCGTAGAAGCCATAAACCTGAGTAATCTGCCTGCTTTCGTGGTTGCCCCTGATCAATGTGATCCTGTCTGGATAGCGGACCTGTCACAGAAAGAGATCCAGCTTAGCCAAGAGAGTTGAAAGGGAAGTTTTTTTTGTAAAAAGACAATTGGTTATGTTCCTGGATCGACAGCACCTGCATATTTAACATCCTCCTTTTGGATGGGAAACAAGGTAATGATTTGGTCACATGTGGGCTGGTTAGCAAAGCTCCCTAACCTTACTACAATCGACTCTAAATAGGTGGTGAAGAGCAATCGAGTAATTAAAGAGATGGCTCCCTACACTCCCCCCACCAAACCAAAACGGACCCGACTTATTGGCAGATGCTGCTTGGCCTGCTGTGTTCATCCAGCTCTACATCTTGTTATCTCGACTTATTGGCATCCTGGTTTGGACATACATCATCACGCCTTCGCAGTAAGGCGTTGTAAATGCTAGAACCCTTCTGTCCAAAAGCAACGGTCTCAGATTAGTAGCCAAACCGGAGATTAGTCAAAAAATATTCAATTGAAAATTAACATCAAGTATCATTTTGAGCAAACACTAATGTTTGTTGTGATCATGAAAGAATCTGAAGTGTGAAGCTTTCGGCAGGAACAAGCCTCTAGAAAATGGATAACGTGGACAGAATGGACAATGTCACCTTTAAACTATTTACAATACGCTATGGCTCAATACCAGTGACTGCATTTCACATGGGTTATGTATAGAACGATAGCTATGATCAATAATTGCACATTTGATGCAGTACAAGAAAGAAATAGGGAAAAGGTATAAGCAGCTCTATAAAACGCTGGTTAGACCACACTTGGAATATTGTGTTCAGTTCTGGTTACCTCATTATAGGAAAGATGCGGAGGGTGCAGAGGAGATTTCCAGGATGCTGCCTGGACAGGAGGGCAGGTCTTAGGAGGAAAGGTTGAGGGAGCTAGGGCTTTTTTCATTGGACCGAAGTAGGACGAGAGGTGACTTGATAGAGGTGTACAAAATGATGAAAGGCATAGATAGAGTGGATAGTCAGAGACTTTTCCCCAGGGCGGAAATTACTATTACAAGGGAGCATAATTTTAAGGTGACTGGAGGAAAGTATAGGGGAGATGTCAGAGGTAGGTTCTTTACGCAGAGAGTGGTGGGTGTGTGGAATGCGCTGCCGGCAGTGGTCGTGGAGTCAGATACTTGAGACTTTTAAGCAACTCTTGGATAGGCACATGGAGGATAGTAAAATGTAGGGTATGCAGGGTAGATTGATCTTAGTCGGATAATAGGTCGGCACAATATCGTGGGTCGAAGGGCCGGTACTGTTCTATGTAAGTGGGCTCGTGCTGATCTTTTACTTCTATTAATGTAATTCTACATTATATTGAAACCAGCTTGCCTGGAGGTCTAATGGCTGCACTTACTCAGTCTGCCGTTAGGTGGAGCACTTTGTGTTTCCTCACTAATTTCAACTTGTACCTCAGAGACACTGAATCCATGTGAATGCTCCCTAAAGTCATGGGTGCCAATGTGTTACATTGTTTTGTAGCACAACCAGACTATGCATACCAGCGTGCTCTGATCACCAGGTCCGCATCAAATGCTCACAACGTGCATTCAGCTGGAATTATTAACTGGACAATCAAACAGAAACCTGGGTTAATAAGCTCTCACTTCACACTGGGAGCTAGGGCCAACTGCAAAGCCTTTATCACTAGTTAAGTGGTAATTAGACCAGCGATCTTCAGCTAAGCCCACTGTACTGTACCAGCAAGAGAAAGTTCAGATTTAAGATGCACTGCAAAGACAGTGTCCAAAACGACTGTCCCTAAACCTCAACACCCTGTAACCTCCCCTCGAGTTTGATCCAGTAAAACAGTTTTCCTTTTGGCTGGTGGACTGTTGAGTGATGCAGTAGCAGGCTGCTTACTGCAGCCTGAATTAGTTGAGTCTCAGAGGCAGGAATAGACAACTCAATTTTAATGCGATTTGAGCTCCCCTAACAAAAAGACGACTTCAGATTCAAGGTGACTTTTAAAAAGTCATTCCTGGGATATGGGTGGCACAGTGGCTCAGTGATTAGCACTGCTGCCTCACAGCACCAGGGATCCTGGTTCAATTCCACCCACTGGTGACTGTGCAAACTCTACACAGACATTCTCCCTGTGTCTGTGTGGGTTTCCTCCGGGTGCTCCAGTTTCCTCCCACAGCCCAAAGACATGCAGGTTAGTTGGGTGATCCACTGTGAATAAGAGGTTACAGGGTCAGGGTGGGGCTTGGGTCCGGTTGAGATGTTCTTCAAAGGGTTGGTGCAAACTCAATGGGCCGAATGGCCTCTTTCTGCACGGTAGGAATTCTACGTGGGCATCACTGGCTAGGCCAGCATTTACTGTCCATCCCTAACTTTTTCCATTGAGCAGAGGAGGCTGGCAGGGTATTCAGTCGAGATATACAAAACTATGAGAGGCATAGACGAGGGTGGATTTTTGTGTCTAAGACTAAAGGGCACGTTTAAGATGAGGAATAAGTGGTTTAGAGGATAGCAGAGAAAAAAAAAAGAATTGTTTGAAGTATGGAGCATACTGCCTGAGAGGGTGGTACCAACAGGTACTCTCAAGATTTAGGAAGTACTTGGTTGAGTTCTTAAAATGCCAGGGTATAGCAGCCTACAGACCAATTGTAGGTAAATAGAAGTGGTGTGGTTTGGTGTGTGTTGGGTCTGTACAGACATGGTGGGCTAACGGGCCTGTTCCTATGCTCAATAACTTAACTGCACTTGACAAGGTGGTGAGCTGCCTTCTTCAATTGCTGCAATCCTTGAGGTGTAGGAACAAGCACAACTGCTGTTAGGAAGGAATGTGGAGCCATTGATACTAAGAGAAGGATTTCATGCACTTTCAATTGAGAGTACAATACTTGTCCAAGACACAGCTACTGGGGTAAGATGGCATTTGGGCAGCAGCCAGTGACCTGGAGTACTGTTACACGATATGGAAGAAGATGAGTAGCTGACACAAAGGTTACAGCAACTCAATAAAAGTAACCTGGTGAAAACTACAAAAAAAAACAAACTCGCTGGCTAAAGAGTATCCACAGAGTATGATCACATACAGAATAAACTTCTAAAATTGCAGGAAACCAACAGAAGCAGCTTGGGTGACGACAGGGGACACGGTAATCCAAGCTCTCTACAGCAGTGTTCAGGGATGACTGGGAGAAAAGACTTGTGGACAAATACCATCTTAGCCATGATGTCCTTCAACATCACCAGCTGATTGCTTTAGGGGAGGTACCAGAGGACAGTCTACACTCCTGGGATTTACTGCTGCCAGAGTTGACATCATCAACTTTGAGAGGCCGAGGGAAAGAGTAAATATTCACACCCAGTTCACCTCACCTTCAGCGCCAATAGCAGCAAGAACGTCTCCACACTGTAGAAACCTCGGTCCACAAAATCTCCCATGAACAAATAGTTAGTCTCAGGAATGTCACCTCCAACCTGCAGGGGCAAAATGTAGATTCAGCAAAACATGCACACATTTACTCTAAAACTCTGCAATATCCACAGTGACTTGGCCGCTTGGATTCAGAAATGGCTTGGCTATAGATGACAGAGGGTAGTGGTGGAAGCGTATTTTTCAGGCTGGAGATCCACAAATAGTGGTGTTTCACAGAAATTCAATGACTCGGATGAAAAAAAGATAGATGGGTGGGTTAGTAAGTTTGCAGACGATACAAAGATGGGTGGACTTGTGGATAGTGTCAAGTTTACAGAGGAATATAGATCAGTTGCAGATATGGGCGGAGGAATAGCAGATGGCGTTTAATCCAGGTAAGTGTGAGGTGCTGCACTTTGGGAGATCAAATGTAAAGGAAAAGTATACAGTTAATGGCAGGACTCTGTACAGCATTAACGTACAGAGGGATCTTGGGGTTCAAGTCCATAGCTCCCCGGAAGTGGCCACACAAGTAGACAGGGTGGTAAAGAGGGCAAATAGCATGCTTGCCTTTATTGGTAAGGGAGTTGAGTACAAGAGTCAGGATGTCATGTTGCAGCTTCATAAGACTTTGGTTAGGCCACACTTGGAGTATTGCATTCAGTTCTGGTCGCCATATTACAGGAAGGATGAGGGTGCAGAAGGATGCTGCCTGGATTAGAGGGTATGAGCTATAAGGAGAGGCTAGAAAAACTCGGCTGTTTTCTCTGGAGTGGCAGAAGCCAAGGGAAAACTTGATACAATTTTATAGACTTCTGAGATGCATAGACAGGGATCATGCTCAGAATCTTTCTCTCCCCACCCCACCAGAGTTGAAATGTCTAATACTAAGGGGCATGCATTTAAGGTTAGAGGGGGTAAGTTTAAAGGAGATGGGAGAGACAAGTGTTTTCCCCCCGACCACCACACAGAGTGATAGAAGTCTGGAACACGCTGCCATGGGTGGTGGTGGTGGAGGCAGATACAATAAGGGCATTTAATGTATTTTTAGATAAGCACATGAATATGCAAGGAATGGAGGGATATGGACCAAGGGCTATACAAAGGCCTGGTTCAGCCACATCTGGAGTATTGTGTCCAGTTCTGGTTGCCTCATTACAGGAAAGATGTGGAAGCGTTGGAAAAGGTGCAGAAGAGATTTACCAGGATGTTGCCTTGAATGGAGGGAAGGTCTTACGAGGAAAGGTTGAGTGCGCTAGGGCTTTTCTCTTTAGAACGACGAAGGATGAAAGGTGACTTGATAGAGGTTTACAAAACGATCAGAGTGGACAGCCAGAGACTTTTTCCTAGGGTGGAGGTAGCTATTACGAGCAGGCATAGTTTTAAAGTGAGTGGAGGTAGACATGGGGGAGACTTCAGAGGTAGGTTCTTTACTCAGAGTAGTCGGGGCGTGGAATGCGTTGCCGGAGAGAGTAGTGGAGTCGGCCTCATTAGGGCATTTAAGCGGCTATTAGATAGGCATATGGATGATAGTATAAGGTAGGGGTGGAGGTTAGATAGACCTTAGGATTAGGGTAAGAGTTCGGCACAACATCGTGGGCCGAAGGGCCTGTAATGTGCTGTACTGTTCTGTGTTCTAAGGGCAGGCAGAAGAGATTAGTTTAAATCGGACTCATGTTTAGCACAACATTAGGAGCCGAAGGGCCCATTCCTATGCTGTACTGTTCCATGTTCTATCTGCAGCTTCCAATTGCAAATGTCTAGACAAGAGACAGTTACCAGTTCACATAGCCTTGTTCAGCCTTAGGCCTAGGAGAGTGAACAGATCCTCAATTATCCTGACAGGCACCCGAGGTGAGCAAGATACATGCTAACTCAATACAGATGAACACAAGGCTACGGATATTTCTCGTGTTCTTATCAGATAAAAATCACAACACTTGCAAAACCTCAAGGGATTTGAACATACCTTAAAAAGTTCTTTGAGATCATAGAACTGCCCATGGATGTCCCCACACACCTGCAAGGAGAAACAACCAGCTTAGAAAATAAATGATTGCAAAATGACTGTTTCAGAATAAACATCCAAGGGCTTTGTATTTTCTTCATTCTTTAATAGGATATGGGTTGTGTTGGGCAAAGTCAGCGCAGCCCACACCTAACTGCCCTTGAATTGAATGGCCAGGCCATTTCAGAGGGCTGTTAAGAATTAGCCATACTGCTTTGGGTCTGGAGTCATGTGTAGGCCAGACCAGGTAAGGGTGGCAGATTTCCTTCCCTAGAGACTGTTAATGAATCAGATGAACTTTTTATGACGCATGATTATACCTGTATCTTCATGTCACCATTATACAGCATCGCTTTGAATTCTTGACTTAGTAACGGATTTTAAATTCCGCTAACTGGTATAGTGGGATTTGAATCCAACCCCCACATCAGCAGCCCAGGTCTCTGGATTGCAAGTATGGTGACATTATCACACCATCTTCTCCAAAGAACTGAAACATTTCTGTCACTCAAAAAGAAACCTCATTTAGAAGGAACAAAAACAAATTGCTGGAAAAGCGCAGCAAGTCTGGCAGCATCTGAGGAAGGGTCACTGGCCTCAAAACAGTTAACTCTGATCTCTCTCCACACAGATGCTGCCAGACCTGCTGCGCTTTTCCAGCGATTTCCATTTACGTTTCAGATTTTTAGTGTCCGCAGTTCTTTCGATTTCTTTTCAATATTTGAAAGGGCTGGTTATCTAGCCAAGAAGTTTTTATTTTGAAATTTACCTTTAAGAAGTTGTTTCCCTGAAAACAAATTGGGTGGAAGCACAAATACTGCATAATCTACCACCTGTGGAATTCATTACCACAGGAAGTAGTTGATACCAAAACACAATGTATTCAAGAGACAGCTGGATATAGCACTTGGGGCAAATGGGATCAAAGGTTATGGGGAGAAAGCAGGATTAGGCTATTGAGTTGATCAATCAGCCACAATTGTGATGAAGGGGCGGAGCAGGTTTGGAAGGGCCGAATAGCAGCCTCCTGCTCCTATCTTGTATGTATGCTTCTATGTAAATATTGGAGGCAGCCCCAATCTGGTGGAGCTCTCAATTTCTTGAGGGGGTCATGGAGGAACTTGCTGAAACTGGTTATGGGTGCACTTCACACCTCACCAGGATTACTCGTGACTGGCAAGAACTGGCTTTGAAAAATGTTGGTCTTGGGGCATTGGCATGGCTCACAAAAGCAGCATTTATTCCCCATCATTGGCTGACTTCAGGAAGCTAATTTTCTTGATGCCAGCAGTCCATGTAATGATGGACCTCTTGCTGATGTGGAGTGCCATTTGTTTCAGACATCCTACAGTCATTAATTGCTCTTCACACAAGCCTAAGCAACATTCGATACAGCATCTCAGCTTAGCATCTGGACACCTGCACGAGGGAGATCACAGGGCAATTGGGACAATGGCAGAGTTCTTTCCTTCAGTCCGGGGGGCAATGCTCAAAATGAAGCCAGTGCACTCAATCAAACATGAGACACACCGGGTGGGCTATATATGTCAGCTTTCAGAGGTATCAGGGTTAAGCTCACCAAAACTATGTGGCACACCTCTGCCCACTGGATAATGCATGGTTGTAATACAAGACAAAATGTGCAAGCCAATATAACACAGAAACAGAGACAAAGGACAGGAGTAGGCCAATCAGCCCTTCAAGCCTGCTCTGCTTTTCAATATGATCACGATGGACTTCGTGAGCCAGATGCGTTTTTACAAAAAAAAAAAAATGAAGAGTCACTGGACTCAAAACATTAGCTTTCTTCCCTCAGATGCTGCTAGATCTGCTAACTTCAACAATTTATGTTTGTAATTATGATTACCTATCAACTGTTTTAGGAAAAGCAAGGATGAATGGAGTTTATTTAGGTGGGGAACTATTTGATCTGCGAACTCAATCATATTAACACCAAGCACATAACAGTGTAAGGCACAACACAGGCAAAGTGTAAAGCTGGCTTCTTAGAATCCCAACCACAGGAGACTCCAAGATTTCCCCACAGGTATTTTTATTCCATTTTTGAAACAAATTTATTAAAGTTTCGTCTACTTCGATTTGAGAGACTGGCCTAAAACTACACCATCTCATTTCACTTCAGGTGTCAGAAGCAAGGGGGCTCAGGGGAAGTACCTGGAAACCACTAAAATCCCAGATGACCCTAAGCCCCATTGCTCCAATAGCAGACATGCCCCAGCTCCGCTTGGTTGCCCTTCCTCGATGGGGTTTCTCTCACTAAGACAGGATGGCACCACCTCAAATAATTTCAAACAGAGAAGAAAATCATGAACATTTTTCTGAAAAAGAATCCAAGATAGAAAAAAACTTTCACCTTGACATGAATGCAGATAAAGACACAGCATTAGCTCCAAATTAATGTATAAAATTAGCTAAGTAAACTCACCGTGACTGGGGAATCTACTTGTTGAACGTTGCTCTCCTCAGCAAGAATCTCCCTGTTTAAGAAGCAGCAAGCTTTGAGATTCAGACAATGGGACAAGCAAGATTCAGTGCTAAAACACCACTCTAACTTTCCATTTAGATCACGGAGGCTGTGATACAACATGCTTATGCAAGCACAAAGAAACAGACTGACCCACCCCTCTAACTACTTGTATGAGGGTCAACTCCCCTCTCACCGCAGTGCGCCTGAGGAAATAACAATCGGTTGTGCAATTCCTTGAACTTCCTGAAAGGATAAAGGAATACATGCTTTCCTGGAGGTTTTGCAGCATCTCTAAGGAAGATGCAATTAAATGTGATTCACTGGTCAGTCAGAGACCATCTCCTAGACTTAAAGGGTAGCTTGTATGAAAACCTGCCACATTTCTTTAAAACAGAAAGGGGCACAGTGCTCGACTGAAAGGGAAACACCTCAAATACACCTCCATGTCAATCTGTCATGAGTCCATACGAAAGTCTCCCTGTAGTTGGCAGGAGTAATATCAAGATCATGTCTTTTTAAGAGCAAAAATAGTCCTTGCAATATTGCTTCCAACACACTGTGGCATTGTGGATGGTTGACATGGGGTTCATCTTGGGGGAGTGACATGACAGCACCCCAAAGATTAATTCTCACTTCTGAACTTTTGGACATTGGCAGCAATAAATAATTCAGCACTACTTTTTGCACATCTTCAACATGAGATATGTTAAAGTAATGGGGGCAGTGGACCATCTAGAAACATTAGCATTTGTTCTTTTCAGCTTTGAGTCAGTTCCCTGCTCAATTGGATCATGGCTGATGTGTCTCTCTGTCACGTGGTTTCTCTAACACTCTGGCTTCAAAAGCTTCCTACAAAAAATGCTGTGTAAACAACCACATTTTTTTTTTTGATAAACTGTGCCTTCTAAGCTATTTAAAAGCAACTTAAAAGTGCTCAGGGTCCAATGCCATACTCTTGGTCCGCAAATCCAAGAGAATAGCCAAGTTCACACGGCAACCAACAATACCAATATCTAAATTCACCACTTAGTGAATTGGAGTTGCTGCCAGCTCATGCCTGCTAGAATGCTGAAAGTGCTGCTGCACTGTAGTGGACAGGAGTTTCAGGTACACACATCCCCGTAACCCTGCATTTCCCATGGCTAACCCACCTAGCCTGCACATCCCTGGACATTATGGGCAATTTAGCATGGCCAATCCACCCCAACCTGCACATCTCTGGACTGTGGGAGGAAATCAGAGCACTCAGAGGAAATCCATGCAGACACAGGGAGAACGTGCAAACTCCACACAGTGTCGCACAACGGTGGAATTGAACCTGGTTCCCTGGTGCTGTGAGGAAGCAATGCTAACCGCTGAGCCACCGTGCTGCCCAATATCGCAAAGTTTTTTTTTAAAAAAGATACATTTCCAGTTCCCTATCCATAGACTCTATAAACTGTTGCTACAGAAATAAGCCTTAAATCTCCAGGATTCAAGATCCTGTGTATGGATTAGACAATAGCGCAGACAGCAGAAAAAGCAGCACACCATCTAGCCAGCTGACTGAATTGCAGCCTACAGCAAGGAGTGAGAGAGAGCAAAGAACGATTAGCTATTCAACTGTGATCATAACCGTCAAAATCCATCCCGTCTCCACGAGCCTTCAAACATTACTCTGCTTGGGTCACTGAGGAGCAGGAACTGCCTTTTTCAAACTGTGAGCAAAGGCCAACTGTAACAGGCTTCTCAAAACTTGGATCAGCCCCCTTAGCTTGGGCCAGGGAATGGGCCCAGAGACCATGTGCTTGATGTTTGAGGCTGCCTTGAAGTGCCCAAGTCAGAGAACTGAGCACGCTCATGGAAGTGAAAATCTGAAACTCTCCAACAAAACTAAGACAATAGGCAAGAGAAATTTCTAACTGCCAAGAATTTTGACAGACAACGGCGTTAAAAGTTAGAGAACAGATCAGCCTTCAGCTAACCGACTAACAGAACTAGATTAAGGATCTGCACCTGCTCCTACACTCAATGAATGCTCCTCTATTCAGAATCCTAGCAGGCAGTGGAGGGGCAGGTGCCCGAGAGGTCAAGCTGACCGCAAGCTGCGAGGTTTGAAAACAAACACACACATCCTTGCATGTGTTAAATACAGAATGCTGTCCTTCACCAGGATATCTTCCTAGATTTGAAAATCCACAAACAAAGTACATTCATTTTAACTGGCACCATTTCAAACTTCTGAGGCAAACACATTCTTCATCCTACACTACATTAGAAAATTTAAATGGTGTATGAGTAGTTCACTCCCCACCAATCTGCCAACAATGGGTTCAATTCATTAGTTTCATACCTGGCTTTGGCACACAGTACTTTCACTTCACTTTCTTTGATGAGTTCACAGCGCATTAGCTGTTCTATCTGATGGTCCAGGTCACTTGTGTCAGCCATGGTCACTGGTAGAAATGAAGGGGGCGGTGGCTTCCGACACAACAACAGACTGAAAACACAAAATAGCTTCGTCAGAAATCAACCCCTTCCCCCTAAAAAGGGGTTCTAATAAAATCTCTAATACAATAGGATTAAACAAATCTGTGATGTCAAACTCTGACCGAAAACCAAACAAATAAAACCAAAATGCCAGGAAAACATGCGCTGAATGTAGGAGAGTGCACACATCAATCCTCTTACTGAGATCAGTTAAACTGACTCCCTACACCTTCACACAAATTCAAGCATCAGGCCAAAATAAGAGGCACTCACCAAAATCAATCGAGAACCAGGTCTCCACAGAACAAGGGGAGAGTGACAAAGGCTGAGATAGATGGATTCTGATCAGTTGGGGAATCAAGGGTTGAGGAAAACGCAGGAAAGTGAATGTGAGGAATTTTGGATCAGCCATGATCTTACTGAATGGCAGAGCAGGCTCGAGGGGCCAAACAGGTTACTCCTGTTTCTATTTCTTATGGTGGCATTTGGGGTCATTGAAAGCCACTTAAATTTTACATACAGTAAGAAACCTATCAAACTATTCGCGACCACTGGTGCTGAAGTTAGTGAGAACTTGAGAGTTAGCCGAGATGAATGAAGAACAAGCTCTGTCTAATTAATCACTTTATGGAAAAGGATGGTGATTGTGTTCTATTGAGACTTCCAAGCAATTCAATAAGTGTTCACTTAGAGAGGTTGAAGTGAAGAAGGGTAAAGAGACAGCACGGGAACAGAACTGGGTTAATGGATGGCTCTCAGACTGGCATAGCATCGCCAATGGAGTGCCCTAGGCACCTGCTGACAGCACCAGATTGGGAGACAACAAGCAGTGATGGAATATAGTCACCTGCAGAAAATGAGGTAGCTTAGGGGAAATGCTGACATAGTGCTAATGTCACAGGACTAATAATTCGCAGTCCCAGACAATTGTTCTGGGGCCATGGGTACAAACCCCATCATGGTAGCTGATGAAACTGAATTGTATTTAATAAATCAGGAACATAAAGCGAGCTGTCACAGTCACATTTTCTGAACTTATCACCGACTGCTGTAAAAACCCATCTGGTTCACTAATGTCCTTTAGTGAACGAAATCTGCCACCTTTATCTGGTCTAGTCTACACGTCAATCCAGACCCACATCAACAATTGATTCTTAAGTGCCCTCTGAAATGGCCTATGAAATGAAAATGGATAAGCAATAAATGAAGACCTAGCTAGTGACCCCACATCCAGTCAATTAATAAAATGGTCTTAGCAAGCCACATTGTTCAAGGGAATATAGGGATTGCCGGTGATAGCTGTTATGATCCCAAACCAGCAAAAATCATGTTACAATCTGGCTCGAGATTAGTAATAGTTTTTTTTTTGAAAAGATCATAGAGTAAGATATCCCAGGTACTAAGCATCAGTACAATACCAGATTTCACAATTTGGAACAAACAACCATAAATTTCACTACATAAAGTTAAAACAGTAGTAAAATCTACAATATATACATACATGCTTACTTGCAATTTCCTCTAACATTCAGCACGAATCCAAGGTAAATGAGTAACAAAACCTGTGCTCATACACCCCATAGCATACATCAAATAACATATATGATCAAGTCAGGTTCCATGGATTTGTAAGCATCCGCCTAGACTTTAGAGACACTGTGGATTATTAAAACTTTACAAGGGATTCACACCCTCAGCTTCTGAAGACCTAGCTCATTAGATTCACAAAAGTCATACTGTTGCAGATTGCCTCAATGACTACTCATGCCCTGGTGCTTCATTTTCCTTTCCTGCATTTCTTCAAGATTCTTGAAACTGCACTCCAGCACCTACTCACAGGCACAACCCCACCTTTTTCACCAACTAGCTTCACCAAGCTGGCACTGTGCCTTGGGTTTCTCAGTTACATCAAGAAAAAAAGAGTGTGCTCTGGGATTCTTTGATCCCATTCTCTGACAGCACTGTACTATTAACTGCACACTGGTTTCTTCTGAGCCCTCTGCAGTTCCCAGCACTCTCCTAGTGTCCTACCTCCAACACTTAAGTTGCGCTCCTGGCTCCCAACATATCTGAAGCACTGGAGTTGTAATTACAGGGAGTGAGCTGTTGAATACAACGTTTGAAAATAATTGATAACACAAACTGTCATAGATTTTAGCTGGTCAGTGAATTCAGTAGAAAGGGATAGGTTTGATTTGCATTAGAGAGACTAGGTTCATAAAATGTTTCAGTGTCCTGATCTTAATTTATAATGCATCACCACTGGGGTTACTGAAGAGGAAATAACAAAAAGGTACTTTATAGAAGTAGACACACTCAAAGCAAATTGGTAAACTGATTAAACAATACAAGGAAAGACAAGAAAGTGGGATTGGACTACAAGGAATTTTCTGCGCTGAAATTTCAGAATAAATTGACATCAGTGGTATTTGTATTTAAACCAACTCCTGACAGTCAGTTGAAATGGGAGATAGAAGCTGATGCTTATTCTGCTTTAGATTTATTTGCAGACTGAAACACTACAAGCATATAGCTCCTAACTCTACACTACTCTTCCAGACTACAGTCAATAAATGTTTCACTATCCTCTTTGGTGGATCCATGAAATCAAATCAACTAATTAACTTATAAAACAGCCCATAGCAGCACAGCTGCAAAACCTGCAAAGGAAGCTTACTAACTCAAATTAAATGACATTGCCAGGGCTGAGATTGCAGAAGGCTTCAAGCACGCCAGCGGGCACCATGCGTTCCCTCTCCAAGAACACCCTGACACAGAACAAACATAAACTGCCTGCCTGTTGTCTTTGGTTGAGTCTAATGACCCCCCTCCCTCAGCCAGCTGCCTGGACCAACTTGGCCAGACCCAGAAGAAAAAAACACGGTGGTTCTCTGGCAGTCCCATTCTCCTCCATACTTGGTGGCCAGAAATCAGGGATGGGGCAAAAGTGCATGTGCTCATGTAATCATTCAACCTATGCCTGCCACTTGTGTTTAGCCTTACTTAGTACAATTAGTATTTATCTTCAACAGTAAGTTAATACATGGAGAACTCTGTTTAACACACGTCAGGCAGTGTTTGTGGCAGGGAAATACAATGTGACACAGCTTACAAAGAGCAATCAGGTTGCAAACAGGAGAGCTAACTGGACACCAAGATATCCAGGATTTCACTAACTAAATCATGACAAGAAGTTACTGCTATTTGAAATACCCAGTTATAAAGCCAATTTTCCACTTTGTAGAGTGATAAACAGCATAATTGCAGCCTCTAACTCTATACCAGAATTCTTTCTTATACACCATCACTTTTTCATTCATTTCACTGGAGGAGGAGGAGTAGGGAGTCTTCCTTAGCTCCATATAGTACTGCACTCAACAACCCATTGCCTCTGGGGACTAATCCCTCCGTTCTCTGACAACCACAACCAAGCCTCCCCCTCATTTAAACTCACTTTCCATATTCCTACTAACCTCTGTTGCCATTGGATCCGTCACACCAACTCAATGTGAACTTGTCAAAGGGACAGATAAATCTCAAACAACAGACAAAGACAACTGCACGAGCTTGCTAAAATACAATAGGGAGCCGACAGGTAGCAGATAATTTTAAAGATAGATCCAATGTAAAGTATAACACCGTGAACAGCCGCTTTCCATTACTGGTGTTGGAAAGCCACTGAAGATGATTTTTGAACAGACTTCTCAAATGTTAATCTCTCTCTGCACCTTCTTTGCAGCTGTAACACTATTCTGTAATCTGCTCTGCAATCCTGATGCATTTTGTATGCTGCGATCTGCTTGTAGAACACACAAAACAACACTTCACTATATCTCAGTACATGACAATAAGTTAAATTAGCAACTTAACAGGGTATCGCCTGTTGAACACTGAAACCAATCAGCTTGATAGCAGTATGTAATTATATCATGCCTAATGGAGTCACACATCCCAAGCTGCTTAAAGGCATTAATAATGAAACAGTTAATGAGATATTAGGACAGATGGCCAGAGGTAGATTTGAAGGAAGATCCCCATTTTCTCTGTCCAATAAGGTAATGTATTGATCGACAGCAGTAATGTACTTGGAAACCCCAAGGCATGCTGGGGAGATTAGTGTTTGGCCAGCTAATAGGTCCCACTGCTTACCCAGCAAGGACACTAATGATAAAGTGCTATAAAAATAGAGTTTAACAAAAAGAACACAATGTCATACAAACGTATTTTTAAAATAGTAGACCAAAGGGGACAAACAAAGACTTGGTTCAAAAGAAATAAACCGTTTTCAGAAGGTTTAAGAAGAACAACGTACCACATGTTTTGGAGGAAGTCCTACAAGTAGGAGACAATGATTTACGAGTCTATCATGAATAAAGGGAAAAGGGGGTGAGGCAAGAGAGATACAAAAACAAAAACAAAATTAGAGGGCGTACATTTAAGGAGAGAGGGGAGAGATTTAAAAGGGATCCAAGGAGCAAATTTTTCACACTGAGGGTGGCTCCTAAGTGGAATAAGCTGCCACAGGAAGTAGTAGATGCTTCCTATCAGTTACAACATTTAAAAGACATTTGGATAGGTACGTAAATTGGAAAGGTTTAGAGGGATATGGACCAAATGCAGGCAAGTGAGAATAGTTTAGTTTGGGAAACTTGGTCAGCAGGGACAAGTTGGTTCGAAGGGTTTGTTTCTGTGCTGTAGAGTTCTATAATATTATCCCCTTAACTCGAAGGATTTGTACGTTACAGATGATGACATGAGGGCCTTTAAAGAGGCAGATTAGAAAAAAGGAACCATGCAAGGGAGTGAGGATGGAGGAAATAGGTAAATAGAACAGAACGTATGGAGTGGTTGTTTGCAGAAAGGGTGAATCTTCAGCTAAACCTACAGTTGCAGTGGGGCTCAGGAGAAATGCTGCCACAGTGAAATAACGCAGCATTTGATATGAAAAGGAAACAGTGACAGAATGGAGAAACAGGTCACGGAGAGGCAAAGCATCACTCATTCAAGCAGTTTATTACCATTGTCAGAGTAATTAACAAAGTATAAAGCATAATATAGGCATTGAGTACAACAGCAGGAAACACATGTTGAACCTTATAAAGCTCTGATTCAGCCACATCCAGGACACAGAGTAGATCTGATCACCAGACCTTAGGAGGGTTTTTGAGAGGAGATTTACCACAATGGTTCTAGGTCAAGGGATTTTAGTTACAGCATTAAGTCAAAAATTTGAGGCTGCTCCTCTTGGAGCAGAGACCAAGGGAGATTTGATCAAAGTGCTCAAGATTATGGCAGGTTTAGAAAAGGCAGAGTGAGGGAAATCTGCTCCCAGTAGCTGATGATGAAAGGACTAAGGAACACAGATTTAATGTCTCAGCAAGAGATGCAGTGGAAGGTTATAAGGGGTGGAGGTTCAAATGGAGGAAGAATCTCTTTGCGCAGTGAATGATAATGACTTGGAACCCACTGCCAACATGGGGACAATAAACCATTTTAAAAGGAAATTCAATGGGCATATTCGGGAAACAAATGCAGAGCTACAGAAAGGCAGTAGGGCAATGAGACGAGCTGGGTCACCCTACTAAGAGCTAGCACAGACTCAATGTGACTGAGTGGCCTCCTCCTATGCAACGACAGTTCTAAGTTATGTGAATCTATTCAAGATTCTTCCAGTGCTGAGACACGGATAGGAGGCTGAATGAAAATAAAGAGGAGGAATAAATGGACCTTTCTCTGAATGACAGGCAGCGGCTAGTGGGATACCGCAGAGGTCAGTACTAGGACCCTAGCTATTCACAACATATGTTAATAATTTAGATGAGAGAACTAAACGTAATATCTCAAAACTGTGTCATCTGCAAATCAAGTGAGAGAATGAGCTGTGAGGAGGATGCAGAGATGTTGCTGCGTGATTTAAACAGGTTGAGTAAGTGGGCAAATGCATGGTAGATGCAGTATAATGTAGGTAAATGTAAGGTTATCCACTTTAGTAGCAAAAATAGGAAAGCAGGATACTAAGTAAATGGCCGTAAATTGGGAGAGGGGAACATTCAATGAGACCTGGTTATCCTCGTGCACACTTCGCTGTGAGTGAGTGTGCAGGTGCAGCAGGCAGTAAAAGATGGCAAATTGTACGTTGGCCTTCGTTGAGAGAGGGTCCGATTAAGGAAGAGGGACTTCTTGCTGCAATTATACAAGTCTTTAGTGAGACCACACATGGAATATTGTATGCAGTTTTGGTCTCATTATCTGAGAAAGATGTTCTTGCCATAGGAGTGCAGGAAAAGTTTATCGAATGTATTCCTGGGATTGCAAGACTGATGTACGAGGAGAGATTGAGTCAGTTAAATTCTATTCAAGTTTAGAAGAACGGAGTGTGGGGAATTTCAGAAACCTATAAAATTCTAACAGGATTAGACAGGTTAGTTGCAGGAGGGATGTTCCCAATGGTGGGTAAGTCCGAAAGCAGGAGTTGTAGTGACGAGGAGAGAGTGGGGAGCCCATGAAATTCGCTACTACTGAACGTGGTCAAGGCCAAAACATTGTATGTTTTCAAGAGGGGGTAAATATACCTCTTGCAGCTAAAGGGATCAAGGGATCTGGGCACAGGATGGGATTAGGGTATTGAGCTTCAATGATCAACCATGGTCATATTGAATGGCAGGGCAGGCTCGAGGGGTTGAATGGCTTACTGCTGCTACTATCTTTCATGTTTCTATGTAAGAATGGAGAGATTCAAACAGAGCGTTATTATACAAAGTGAGGAGGTGACACACTGTCAAGGATCTTGAAGAAAGGAAGCAGGAGCCGAGGGTGTATCTGAAAAAGACAACATTTGTGAGGGTGAAAATAGCAGGTTTGATAGCAAGAGGAGACTGTCCTCCCAGCTTTCAGACTAATAACAAGCAGAGGATGAATATGAAAAAGTCGTTTATAGGCTGGCAGGATGCAACAAAGGATATGCCATATGGTTCAGCATCAGAGCCTCAATTATTTAGATAGATATGACTTGGATGGCAGGTCCAGATGCATGGCTGTTAAATTCACTAATGACACAAGGATAGGTATGAACAAGTTGTGAAGAGGTCATAAGGAGTTTGCAAAGAAATATAAATAGGTTGAGTGAGTGGGCAAAAAATTTGCCAGATGGAGTATTATTTGACAAAAAATGTGAACTTGTTCAATTTGGCAGGAAGAGCTTTTAAAAAAGTTATTACTTAACAGAGAGAAAGTGCAGAACTAAAAGAAATCTGGGTGTCCTGCTACATGAATCACAAAGTTAGGATGCAGGTACAGTGAGTGATTAACAAAGCAAACAAAATGTTGGCATTTATTTAAAGAGGAATGGAATATAAAAGATGGGACGCTTGGCTACAGTTGTACAGGACGTTGGTGATACATCTTAAGTAACGCGTACGCTTTTGATAACTTTTAAGAAAGAACGTGACTGCATTACAGGTAGTTCAGAGAAGATTCACTTGACTGATACCCAGGTTTGGCGGATGAAGGAGGATTGGACAGGCCAGTCCTGTATCCCTTGGAGTTTAAAAGAACAAGAGGTGATCTTATTGAAATGTAATAGTCCTGAAAGGATGTTTCCCTCTTGTGGGAGAGACAAGAATTAAGATATCCAGTTTAAAAAAAACTGGAAATCTCTTCCATTTCAGACTTGAAAGCGAATGTATTTGTTTGCCCTCAGAGGGTCATGAGTCTTTCGAATCCTCTTTCCCAGGTAGTGGTGGAGGCAGGATCATTAAATATGTTTAAGGCGTCCACTGGCGAGTTAAAATGTTGGTTGTCATTAAATGAAGTAAATTCAGCAGCCCTGTTTGGATAGTGAGAGGGCTAAGTTCCCAGCTCCAACAGCAATCATTGAGGCCAACTCTCCTTCAGAGATGGTACCTGAATATCTGCTCCTCCTACCCTTAACATAAATTAATCAACTGGTCTTTAGACAATGCTAGCAAACATGGTTCTGAACCTTGGCAGTCCCTCACACTAACACCTCACTTCAGTAGGTGAACAACAAGGACTCCAAGAATCTGCCTAACCATAACTGCCCTCTGATATGGCCGAGCAACAAAATGCTGGCCTTGCCAGTGATACCCACATCCTTTAAAAGATGAAAGGAGGAACACTGAGCTGATATCTACTGCTTTTTCAGACATTTCCACACTTGACGCATTCTTTGTTTGAACAAGTATTTCCTCATTTCCCTCCTGATGAGACAGGCTCTGATTTTCAAGATGATAATCCTTTATCCTGAATCTCCCCCAGCCACAGAAAACCTCTCCCCACCCCTCATCAAAACACTGAAAATCCCAGCCAAATCAATTCTACATCGCAGAGAACACAAGCCAAGTTAACATGCATTCTTCCTCAGGTGTGGTACCTGAAACTGTACAAAATGTTCTGGACATTATCTAAACCAAGCTTTTGTACAACTGGAACTAAACTTTCCCCCATTTAGATTCTTGCTCTCCAGTTTTGCTTTGTTCCAGACAACTACATTTCAGTTACCTGCGTACACAGCTCCCAACCTCTCTCTGATCTCCACCCTTCCTGGAATTCTATTTAAACAAGATAGATCAATATATTCTTTTCCAGGCAAAATGGATGACTTCATGTTTATTCTGATACCCAGCCTTCAGTTTCAATCACACTCAATCCATCATACAATGCTCTTTCTACACCCCAGCCAGATCCTCACACCACTAGGAGGATTTTTGTGATGCACCACTGAGCCAGAAGCTCAGGTTCATGTCCCACATGCTCCCGAGATGTGTAATAGCATTCCTAAGCAGGTTGATTAAAATCACCACTAGTCACTTCACTGCAATGTAAATGTATACCCATTATCCACATGCTTTCTCCTATGGTCCAACCAATTCCCAAACTAGGTCAATGATTTTATTAGCCTCTTATGAGGAACCCTGTTAAATGGCTTCTGGAGTCTAAATATAAGGACATTTACTCATATTCCCTAGATCTCAGTTCAGTCACTTTCTTTGAAAATCCAATTAGATTCACGATAATGTCTACTTTTCAAGTCCACGTTGGAGTCTCTTCAATCTGCTAAAGTTTCACGGTCACCCTGTCTTTAATTGTAGATCCCAGTAACTTCTCCACAGCAGATGTTAAACTAAGTTGTCTGTGTGCCAGGCACGAGGCTGTCTCAGGGTCTCAGTCACATCTGTTTAGTCCACAGCCTTATCTCCAATCATGTTGCCTGCTCACCAAAGGAAAAAAAAGACACCTCACATGTGAACGAAAGGATTCCTTCAATGGCAGGACAAGAAAATCTCAACCACCAAAAACCAGCACAAGCCCACAGGCTGTGAACAAGCATACCTCACCTGCACCCAGCAACAAATACTTTGCCAGCCATGCTCACAAGGAGCTGCACCCAAAGCTAAGCCTGCACCAACAAGTCGTAACTGTTTCATTAACTCACCAAGATGTGATCTTCACTGCCTGGGCCAGCATTTATCTCCCATCCCTTACTGCCCTCGAGATGGTGGTGGTGAGCTGCCTCTTAGACTGCTATAGTCTATGTGGATTACAAATTTTAATTTCCTTGTTGAATATTAAATAAAAAGCCAGGGGGACTATATATTTCAAGTCAGTGCTGAGAAAAAAAGAATCAGTCAGGCTAGCTCCTGCCACCTTAGCCATCAGGGTAACACATTGTTTCTCAAAGAAGCCTTCAAACAAGACAGCCAACTAATGGTCTGCCTTGTGAGTCACTGAGCCAGATTGATAGCGTAGTGGGAATATCACTGGACTGTAATCTAAAGGCCTAGTCTGATGTTACAGAGGTATGGGTTCAAATTCTACCACAATAGATGGTAGAATTTAAACGCAATTAATAATCGATAATTGAAAACTAATTTCATGGTCACCATAATGGAGACGATTATCAACTGACATTAACAAAATAAAACAACCTGGCTCACTAATAGCCTTTGACAAAGAAATGTGCCATCCTTACCTGGTTTGGCCTGTTAGAGGTGACAGACCCAGGGCAAGGCTGTTGACATTTAAGTGCCCTCTGAAATGACAAAGATCTGCATTCAGTTCAAGGGCAATTTGGTTAGGGCATCAAACAATGGCCTTGCCATAATGCCACCCCATTAAAGAATAAATAAATACATATTCCAAGACCTCATTCAACAAGGAATAAACAACCTTCCTCACAATTTGATCTCACACAGTATACCCACCAGTTGGGTATATTTCATGCTCAACCATTCCACCCACACTGGCTGATCAGTGACCTCATACTCCTGCCTCCATGCTCCTACCCCCACGCACCACGACCCCCAACCCCATCACCACATTTTCACTACTGACTACAAACCTTACCCTCCCTCCCTTCAGTCCTCTTAGACGCGAGGCTCCCATACCCAGGTCGACAACTTGTCTCAAACCACCTCCTCGCTCTGTCAACCCCCTTTCACCATCTCCTGCACTTCTCTCCCTCAAACCCATTCTAACGCCACGCCACCCGAAATGTGTAGGGATCTCCCCATCACATCTGCCCCATCCATACCACAAGTCCACACATTTTATTACCCACTTCTGCTTCAACTTAAACAAAATTCTAAACCTCAGTCCAGCACACACCGACAGGCCCAGGGGATACCTAGCCACCAACTCAGATTCATCTCCCAGGGATTTACAACCCCACCCTCGCCCCCACACGGCACCCACAGCCCCTCACCC